TTTGGCATCCTCATAGTTCAGTACCCAGTTCCAGGTTATAGTTTCAGGCTGGATTGGGTGCTTGCCATTGCAAGGAAGCAGGGACCTGCTTTGGGAAGGACCAGACCACAGACAAGGAGGGCAATGATCAGAACAAACCCCAGATCATACCACCTTGGAAACCCTGAAGATCTATAGGCCCACAGACCTAGATATAAAAACAGCAGGATAGATAAGCTTGAAACTTAGGTTGGTCACTCCCCTTGTCCCTGGGGTTAGCAGAGGTCAAGAATACAATACAATACAAAGTCAAGAAATAAGTTGGGAAAATAAGCAAACAACAGCAACAACAACAAAATAGCCTGACATAAAGAACTACCATGGTGACAGGGAAGATCAAGGCACAAACTTAGAAGAAGACCATGACATGAAAACATCTGCAAGCAAAGACTCAAAGAAAAAAGAGAGATCCAGTGATAAAGTGCGTGCCTATTACTTTAGGTCCACAATGGATTGAGACTTGGCACTAGAGTAGAAAGACTTGAGTTCAAATGTGGCCTCAGATACTTCCTAGCTGTGTGACCCTTGGCGAGTCACTTCACTTCTGTATTTCATAGTTTCCTCAACTGTAAAATGGGGTAATAAAAGCACCCACATCCTAAGGTTGTAGTGAGAATAAAAAGAGATAATATTTGTAAGGTGCTTTGCAAACCTTGAAGTACTATATAAAGGTTAGCTATTATTGGTAGCAAGGTGGTGCAGTGGATAGAAGCTAGACTTGGAATCAAGAAGACCTGAGTTCAAATCCAGCCTCAGACACTTCCTAGATGTGTTACCCTGGACAGGTCCATTAGGCTCTTTATGCCTCAATTTCCTCAATTGTAAAATACAGATTATATAAGGAAATAATAAATGAGAAATGCTTTGTAGACCTTAAAGTACTACGGAAATACGATTATTATTTTATGATTACTACTACTACCTTTGTCAAAGACCAGCTTTGCTGGATTCAGAGGCTCAGCACCAAGTTGCCTAAAGTGTGAGGAATTTTTCAGCCACACAACAACTCTCAAAGTTGTGGAGAGGCTGCAACTCCTAGTGGGGAGTTCCCACACCAAAGAAATCCCATATTCTTTAATTGCTTGAGTTTATAATATAGTTGCTATGACATAAAGATAGCTAGTGGAAAACACCTGTTTTCCATGAAATAAGGTTGGATATGCAAAGCCTTTTCCTTTGAAGCCAGTTGGCACTTCCCAGGCAATATGGCTACAATCTGGGTAACTAAAATAATCTCTTTTCTCTTTTTCTATTACCTTTAGAGAATCACCAATTTTAAGAGTTGCAAGGGATCTCAGGGGCTACCTAGTTTAACCCCTTTATGAAATGAATCCCCACTGGAACACACTCAGAAGGGAGTTATCTGGTTTCTGCTTGAAAACCTCCAAAGAGGGGGTACCCATCACCTCTCAAAATTGCCCATCAAGCCTAAATCTGTCTCTCTGCACCTTATATCCATTGCTCCTGGTTCTGGCCCCTTGGGCCAAGCAGAATAAGGCTAATCCCTCTTCCACCTAGCATCCCTTGAAATACCTGAAGTCACTATCCCATCTCTCCCCCCTCACTTTCCAGCCTCCTTTCGAGTTTTGTTTTTTCCATTTATATTGTAAACTCCCTGAGAGCAGGGATTATCTTTCTTTATATTAATTGTATCTACAGTGCTTAGTACAGTGGCTGACATATAGTAGGTGCTTAATAAATGTTTATTAGATTGGATTGTAAGTAGAAGTTCTGGGATCTGAACTCAGGTCCCATGACTGGAAGTTCAGTGCTCTTTTGCACCACACTATGAGATCATAGATTATAATACCCTTGACACCTTATCCAGCATTCTTTTCCCCTGTTCCCTGCTGACTCTCAGTTAAACAAGGACACCATGTGGGCATGGCAACTGTACTCCTCAGCCTTGGAATTAGAATCACCCAATTTTGGAGTTGGAAAGAGACATGAGGGAAGATCAGGAAAAGAAGCACCATTTCATTTTCCAGGGCTTGTCTTGAAAACATACAGCACTTATTAGAAACCTCTTTCAGATGCTGACACTGGGCCAGATTCATTATCACACTCAGTCCTTCAGAGAGAGTGGTGCTCCCTTCACCAACCTATTGGCCTCCAGCTGCATAAGGTTTATTACATAGTCTCTTGATGAAGGCAAGTCAAAGGGCTGTCTCTCAATATATTCCTTGCATTGCTTTATTTTGGATTATTTTTGCATTTGATCCCAAATGGGAAAGAAGCGGCTGGGAGGAAGAATAAATGCATTTTTATGAAGGACTGGAGCTGGTCCTCAGTTGGCATCATTGGCTCACATAGAATTCTGTGGGTTGGTAAAACATGGGGGAAAAAGATTCTTCCTTTATTAAGTTGCCATGAATTGTAAAGCAGAGCTGCAAATAACTGTTCTTTTTTGGGGGTAGGGGGAAGGGGTCTTGGACTTGTGATTTCTTTTATATAGAAACTGTCTCAACCAATGTTGAACAGCAACTTATCTGCAGCTTAAGATTGTAGAGGTAGCCTTCCTGATTCCTGAGAGGCTAAAGGGATCAGAGGCTCAGAGACCTGGAGCAGGGAAGGACCTTAGAAGTCATTTACTGTGATTTCTTTTACAATGAGCAAGTGTAGATTCAGAGATATTGGATAACTCGCAGGGGGTCGCATAGTCAGTTACACTAGAACCCAGGGCTTATTAACCCAAAGCCAACACTCCAGGCATGACTTCAATGCTAACTCTATAAAAAGCTTCCATGATTCTGATCTTTAGAGAATACTTTGAGATACAAAATCATGGTACAGAGAGGTAGTAGCAGTCACTGCAATTATACTTTGAGCCTATTTTACAGGGACCTGCACAGAATCTCAGAGTTGAAGGGAGTTCAGAGGTCATCCAGTCCAACCTGTACCTGACTAAGCATCACTTCTACATTTCCAATAAGTAGTAATACAAAAGTTTTCCTATAGCCCTCCAATGAGGAGGAACACCATCTGTCCAAAGGTAGTCCATTATGTTTTGGGATAATAGGAAAGAAAGAAGGAAAGAAGGAAGGAGGGAAAAGGGAGGGAGGGAAGGAAAGAAGGGAAGAAAAGAAGGAAGAGAAAAAGGAAAGATTGAAGGAAGGGAGTGGGGAAGGAGGGAGGGAGGAAGGAAGGAAAGAAGGAAGGAAAAGGAAAGAATGAAAAAAGGAAGGAAGAATAGAAGGAAAGAGGAGGGGAGGAAGGAAGGAAGGAGGTAGGGAGCAAGAGAGGTGAGAGAGGAAAGGAGAAAGGAAGAAAACAAGAATTTTCTAAGCACCTATGATGTGCCAGGTACTGTGCTAAGTGCTTTACAAATATTACCTTATTTGGTCCTCATAACAACACTGTATGGTAGGTGCCAGTACTAACACTATTTTACAGTTGAGGCAATTGAGGCAGACAAAGATTAAGTGACTTGTACAGGGTTATACAACCAGTAAGTGTCTGAATGTGAATTTGAACTCAGATCTTCTTGACTCCAGGACCAGGGCCCTATCCATTGTACTACATAACTACCTATAGGCATTTTGGTCATTAGCAACATTTTTGTCATATCAAACCTACATCAGGCTCTTCATAATATCCGTATATTGCTTCTATTCTATCCCAAGAGTCAAGAACAAGTCTAACTCTTTTTCAACATTAGCATATTTAAAGATAACTATCTCCCCCCTAAGTTTTCTTTAGCTTAACCATCCTTACAAAATTCAACCAATCCTTATGTGGCATGAAGTCGAGGCCCTTCACCATAATGGTCTGCCTCCCTTAGTTACTCTCCAGCTTATCACTGTTTATCCTGAAATGTCTTGCTCAGAACTGAACACAGAAGGTGAATTGCAATTGGCGATCACTGCCTTATTCCTGGATTCTGTGTTTTGCTTAATGCAGCCTAATGTTGCATTAGCTTTCTAGGCCACCATCTCACACCAATGACTCAAAATGCCATAACCTTCTGATGACTCCGGGTGTTAATGTTGTGGGTACCATTTTTGTTTCTGTGAATATAAGGATATATTTTCTAGTCAAGTACATCTCAATTGTTCCCTAGATGAGAACAAGAACTTGAAACTTCCCTAGGTGTGAGAGAAAGTATATTTGGATTGGCTGAGAGACTAAACCGTAACCTCTGGCCTATACAAAATTAGAGAGCTGGTTGTAATTCAAACAATCAATTAATATATATGTATTAAATTCCTAATATATGCCAGGCACTGTGCTAAGTGCTGAGGATACAAAAAGAGGCAAAAGACAGTTCTTGCACTGAAGGAGTTTACAATCTAACGCGGAATACAACATACAAACAAATATATACAAAGCAGGCTATATGCAGGATAACAAGGAAAACTTATCAGAGGGAAGGCACTAGAATGAAGAGAAAGATTTAAGTAATTAGGAATTCAACGGAGAATGAAGCTGAGAGAGAATTTTAGCCAAACCCCTGAGAAGGAACCATTTGTGGGAGAGAAGAGCACCTCATTCTTCCTTACCTTTGACCAGAGGAGAACTTTATGAACTTCAGAAGTCAAGAGGATTTGGGACTTTGAGGGGATAAGTAGTCAATCTCTGGGCACCCAATATGTTAGTGTGAGTGGAAGTTTGGGTAGAGACCCTAGATTTTATATGCACTGTATAATGACCCCCAAAATAACCAAGCCAGAAAAATACAACTTTGGGTATTAAATTAGAAAATGAAAATCATTGTAAAGTATTTTTGCAAGAGCAGAGACATAAGACATTCAAATAGAAGGAATACACCATCCACAGAAGCTTTTCCACTTATTTCAGTTCTTTTTTTTGTGTGCCTAAGAGTCAATGTCTGGATTTTAATGACAGTATAACCAAAATGGTAGGAAATGAACCCTATGGGAACTAAAGGTCTATCCAGTCAATGAACAATGATGTTGACATGACAATAGTTTCCTAGGGGGACCAGAGAAATATCACCTTACCTTAATTACATCTTCATCTGATGATCTACACTCCACAGACTCCAGAAGATCTGTCACAGTGCCATCCTCCTCCACAGAGACCACCTTTACAGGCACAGCCACTGTCTTCCCAGTGAGAATAGCCGTGTTCAAGATTTCTGCTTCCTGGAAGATGGAACAGAGCCCTGGGTTTTACATTCCTTCTCTGAATGACCTTTCCCCTGAAATGTGCTAATTCCCTCTTCTTGGCCCTCCCTGCAAAGGGAATCTAATTTGCATTAGTTCCTGGTAAGTCTGGCACTGTCACAGCAGTGGGGGTTAATGTGACAGGTACAGCCATTATTAGCTGTCATTACTCAAATTCCCAACAAGGAGCTCCAAGAACAAGACAGAAGAAAAGTGTCCACACAATGGAGTACAGAAAAGAATGGCCCTAAATTAGTTCAACATAATACAAGCCCATGGACAGAGCCAAGGGAGGAGGGAGTTTCTGCTTATGCAGCAATGTATGCAGCAGTCTAAAAAAGCTCCTGTTGTTTCTAGGCCCCGAGAAATGTTCTCTCCCCTGAAAAATTTGTATAGTCACCAATCTTATTGATGCTATTGACCAGCCCATATACCTGAATGGGGGAGGGGTTATGGTGAATTGGCTGTAATCAATCACCAAACCAGATTGTGAAAGTGGGACCAGGTTTATTTCTTCTTCTGGAACTTGCACTCCAGTCCTCCTTCCCATGCTAGAGCAGGGTCTCATGGCAGAGACCATCTTTCTATTCCAATAATTGTAGCTACAATAGCTAGCTACATGATAGAGAGCCAGTCCTTGAGTCAGGAAGACCTGGGTTTGAATCTAGCTTCTGACCCAAGCTATCTGTGTGATCATATCATTTAAACCATTGAAATGTTCACTGCCCCAAGCAATGCTCTAAGGCTCTAAATTGCACAGCAGGTGCTGATCAGAATTTGCCCAGGGAATTTTTGCCAGGGGAATGCCAAACATGGATAAAACAAATAGTTAGGACAAAAAAAATACCCCACAACAAAACAAATGACATGAATGAATATCTGATGAAAAATTGTGGGTATTCTTCTCTAGGGATAGTAAGTCAACAAATATTTATTAAGCACCTACTATGTGCCAGGTACTTTGCTAAGTGATAGAGATACAAAGAAAGGTAAAAATATGGTTCCTATCTTCAGGGAGCTCACATTTTGACAAAGAAGACAACACAGAAATGCCTATATATTTATGCATTACATGCATGTCTGTATATATAAATATATACTTATATGATATTACATACATATATATAACATGATAGGATGTACATGTTATATGATAGATTAGATATGATATCACACCCTATGTCAGGTAACATAATTTTATATATCATATATGTGATATGATATGATACAAGATGATATAATATTTGTGTAAATGAAAGCCAATCTCAAAAAGAAGCGCTGGGGAGAGGGACGGGACCAAGAACAGCCTCTTGCAGAAGGTGGGTCCTTCTGCCTCTTGTTTCTTTGAGCTGATCTGAGTTTTCAGTTGGCCCTTGAAGGAACTCAGGGAAGCCAGAGGCATGGAGGGGTAGGGAGAACATTGCAGGAATGGGAGACAGCTAGCACAAAGGGATGAATAATTTTCACCATTACAGTCCCGTGAACATTGCCGGCTTGGATTTGAACATAGCATTCATTGTCACCAACTTTCCTAGATCTGGTTAATACAGTGTGTGGGGCTGGGGGTTAGGGTGATCCCTAAACAGAGATTGAGAGAGACCCCCTGACCATCCCCACACTGATAATGATGACTTACAAGGAGAGAATATGAGATCCAACATGGATGGCTTCCTCCTTCCCCCAGTACTCACTCCGCTGACTGTTCACTCCACTGACTGTTCACTATCAACCATTCTATGGCTGTTCTATCCAAGAATTCACCAGCAATCTTCTCATTTCTTTAGTGCCCTTATGCTCAGAAGGCAGGGTGGTGTAATGGATAGTGCTGGACTCAGGAATTTTTGGATCTTAGGAGTAGTCTTGAGCGGGCAGCAACTTGAGAGGCCATCTACTCCAATCCTTTCATTTTACACTTAATGATCCCAGAGTCTAAGGGAGGTTAATGACCCCTATATCAGAGGGTGGATTTGAACTCAAGTCCTATGCCTCAGAGATTCAGAGATCTAAAGCTGGAAGGTATCTCAAAGGTCATCTAGTAAATGCTCCTCACATTACACATGTGGAAAATCAGGCCCATGGAGGTCAAGTGACTTGTCCAAGGTCATACGTAGAATCAGCATCAGAGATGAGATTTGAACTTAGAACCTAGAGGAGTCAGGGAAGTCCACTGTACCACACTAGCTGGATCCAAATCCCTCCTCAGACACTTAATAGCGTCACTAACTTTTATAAGCCTTGGTTTCCTCATCTGTAAAAATGTATAATAATCATTTCTACCTCACAGGGCTATCATGAGGTTAAACTGTGAAAGAGCTTTTCAAAACCTAAAGTACAACATAAATTCAAGCTGTTATTAAATATCCCAGCAGTAGTGCCAGTCCAAACATTTGCCAGTTCATTCAAGTTGTTTCCTGTAGCCCTAGAGCAAGGAACAATCTCTTGTGGAAACATGGCACCATCTTCTGTGTCAGCTCAAGATTCTGTGCTTTTCCCCCTACTATACTGTCAAATAAGCCTTTTGCCTGGGCTATGAGTAAGCTTTTAAAAACTCTTTCTTTGAGTTCACAAAAATTCCGAAGGCCTCCCGGGTCCCCACCGGTCATTCACCTCTTCTTTAGTAAATGGTTCCTGCTCTAGATTCTGAGCCTGACCTCACTTGACTTTGGGGAAAAGAAACCAAATATGAGAGAGAAGCAGTTGCCTTTGGGCAGGGCAAGGAAAGACAGGAATCTCCTTTATCCAAAGGGCAGGGATCAGAAACAGCTTGTCACACAATTGAACAGAAAGATTCCAGTTTCTCTCTCCTCAACCCCCTGGCTTCCCAGAACTGAATCTCTAAGTCCCTTAGGAATACAGGCATATCTCATTTTATTGTGTTCCACAGACATTGTGTTTTTTACAAATTGAAAGTATGTGGCAACCCTGCATCGTGGAAGTCTATTGGCACCATTTTTCCAACTACATGTGTTCACATCATGTCTCTGTGTCATATTTTGGTAATTGCAATATTTCAAATGTTTTCATTATCGTTATATCTGTTATGATGATCTGTGATCAGTGATCTTTGATGTTAGTATCGTAATTGGGGTGTGCCACAAACCACACCCATATGAGACAGCAAACTTAATTGATAAAAATTGCATGTTCTGACTGCTCCAGCAATGAGCAATTCCTCCATCTCTCTCCCTCTCCTCCCTATTCCCTGAGACACAATAATATCAAAATTAGGCCAGTAAATAACCCTACAATGGCCTCCAAGTGTTCAAGCAAAAGGAAGAGTCAATCCATGTGGTAAACCTCATTGTTGTCTTATTTGAAGAAATCGCCACAGCCACCCCAATCTTCAGCAACCACCACCCGCAATAGACAGCTGCCATCTACATCAAGGCAAGACCCTCCACCAGAAAAAAGATGACGACTTGTTAAAGTCTTAGATGATGGCTAGCATTTTTTAGCCATAAAGTACTTCTTTCACTAAGATATGTGCATTGTATTTTAGACACAATACTATGGCATACTTAATAGACTACCAAAGAGTGTAAACATAACTTTGATACACGCTGGGAAACAAAAAAACAGACTCATGTGGTTCACTTTATTGTGGTGTTTGCTTTACTGTGGTGGTTTGGAACAAAACCCACAAAGTTATGCTTGTAAAAGAAACCAGTGAAGGGGCAGCAACCTGGCCTCATCACACAGCAGGAAGAGGCATTGTGCAGCTCAGCTCCAGAATAAAAAGTCAAGAGTGTCCTTTAAATATTTGGAAATTCTGGGAACATGAAGAGGAAGGGGGCTAAGGAGGAGTGCTGACTGGCAGTGGAATGCCCATCTGGGCCAGGGGTATTCTTATGCTTGGAATGCAATTTTTCATTCTGTCATGTGAGATCTACTTGGGGACTGGGAAGGAAGCTCCAGATTTTATCATTCTGCCTTTTGCATCCTCCAGGGTCCCTAGCATTCCAAAGGCTCTGGGATTCAAAACATGTCTCCTTCCCATCAAATATCTTTTTGCTCCTGCCCAGATAAAGTTGCTATACTCTGTTGTCTTTATTTCCTTGCTTTCTCATTCACTCACTTCTCAACCCCTTTGAAATTGGATGCCGGACCTTATCACTTAGCTGAAACTGCATTCTCCGAGGTCTGATCTGTTCATTGGTAATTTCACTGGCCTCTTCTCCATCCTCATCCTTCTTATCTTCTCTACAGCTGCCAGAATGATATTCCTAAAGCACGGGTCTGAGAACTCACCCCCTACCTCAGTGTGCTCCAGGGATACCTTCAACTTCAACGATCAACTATGAACTCTTCTGTTTGGCATTTAAAGACCAAAGCGCGTGCACACACACACACACACACACCCACCCACCCACACACGCATGGCCCTTCACAATCTGACTGCAATCTACTTTTCCAGTCTTATCACACATTACTTCCGTTATTGTACCCTCCAGTCCAAGTGCAACTGGCCTTTCTGCTGTTCCTTGTTGAGGACATTTCAACTTCTGTCTATGTGCCTTTTCAGAGGCTATGCCTCATGCTTGGAATGCATTCTCTACTCATCCCTATCTCTTAGAATCCTTAGTTTTCTTCAGAGCTCAGCTCACATGTCCCCTTCTACATGAGGCCTTTCTTGATTTCTGGGCTGTTTAGAACCTCCTCACAAAAATAACCAGATATTGACTCTATAGATATACATACATACATATCCCATACATACATACATACACACAAACTAGCTGTGTGATCCTGGGGGGGGATATGTATATGCATATAGATATATGTATGTGTGTTTGCATATACATACATGCATGTATGTATAAGCACATCATAACACATTAATAAATGTACATGTGCCTACATGTATATAGTTATATATTTATAGATATGCATAGATTTATATATATAAGCACACAAGTTCTGTGACTCAGTGTGTGTATGTATGTGTGCATATATAAATACACATGTACATATACTACACA